GATTTTATACTTGTCTCCCATTTGTCTCCCACTTGTCTCCCAGTTGTCTCCCAGTAAGCTCTCGATGCTCTCAGTGCTCTGGCCGCATGATTTCAGGCTTGTCTCCCTTTTGTCTCCAAGTAAGCTCTGGATGCTCTGAGTGCTCTGGCCGCATGATTTCACACTTGTCTCCCAATTGTTTGTCAGTAAGGTCTGGATGCTCTGAGTGCTCTGGCCGCATGATTTTATACTTGTGTCCCATTTGTTTCCCACTTGTCTCGCAGTAAGCTCTGGATGCTCTGAATGCTCTGGCCGCATGATTTCACACTTGTCTCCCACTTGTCTCCCAGTAAGCTCTGGATGCTCTGCTCTGGCCGCATGATTTTATACTTGTGTCCCATTTGTCTCCCACTTGTCTCCCAGTAAGCTCTGGATGCTCTGAGTGCGCTGGCCGCATGATTTTATACTTGTCTCCCATTTGTCTCCCAGTAAGCTCTGCATGCTCTAGTGCGCTGGCCGCATGATTTTATACTTGTCTCCCATTTCCCTCCCACTTGTCTCCCACTTGTGTCCCAGTAAGCTCTGGATGCTCTCTGTCTCCCACTTGTCTCCCACTAAGCTCTGGATGCTCTCAGTGCTCTGGCCGCATGATTTCACGCTTGTCTCCCATTTGTCTCCCACTTGTCTCCCAGTAAGCTCTGGATGCTTTTAGTGCTCTGGCCGCATGATTTCAGACTTGTCTCCCACTTGTCTCCCAGTAAGCTCTGGATGCTCTAGTGCTCCGGCCGCATGATTTCACACTTGTCTGCCATTTGTCTCCCATTTGTTTCCCACTTGTCTCCCAGTAAGCTCTGGATGCTCTGAGTGCTCTGGCCGCATGATTTCACACTTGTCTCCCACTTGTCTCCCAGTAAGCTCTGGATGCTCTAAGTGCTCTGGCCGCATGATTTCACACTTGTCTCCCACATGTCTCGACTTGGCTCCCACTAAGCTCACTTGTCTTCCACTTGTTTCCCATGGCCTGTCTGGATGCTTTGTATCCCCGGGCTTGGCTGGATGCTGGGCCGATTAATTTTTTGATGCGCACAAGGTCGTTGCTCTGTTGTATTTCTGGTGTTTCGAGTTTGAAAGCTGCATTGGCTGCACTGGGCCGTCGATGAGTTTGCCGGCTCAGATCATGAATGACGCATGGTTTAGTGTTGCAGTTTGCCAAAGGGACAGCTCGCCATCTTGCGACATGTTATCAGACAAGCTTTGTTACTGGTTGCTTTTCGCGAGTGTTGCAACATGCGGAAGGCGCGAAAAGCTCCTATGGCAAACACAGGTCAATGCAGTACATGGCTAAGCCAAAGAAGGCGACTGCGTAGGAAGGAAAAAGCCAAGCGCAGTGTCCGTGCTCTCAGGAAATCTTCATTTTGATTGGGTCTGCGCATTCGTGTTTACAAGGGGGGCAACATGTGTCACAACCTGGATCCATAAATTTCATGTTTTAGCCCTTGTACGGCGTCCCATTGTAAAGTCAACGAAAAACAGAATTTTAATGCTTTCCCTTTGAATCTTGTATGTGCGTCTACATGGTGGACTACAGTTTTCTTCCTCTAGGAAATACTGCTGGCCATATTGTTCGGGGATTTCATTTTTGAACATTGCTCTGTTTGGGGTCTACGCTGGTATAATTTCCATTGGACGCCTTACTTGACTTTTTGGAGTTCCTAAATTCGAAGTGTGGAAATAGTTAGGTTAGGCGGTAAAATGATCCAGCACACTGCATGAAATGCCGTGCCTTTGTTACTGGACTAGGATGGAAGTGTGGACAGCCTTTACAGATCTCAGACACAGGTTTTCGAGACATGAATTGTCTCTCGGGAACCTTTGGAATCTCAATTTTCATCTTCCAAATTAGCACTTGGATCTTAAGAGGCTTTGACCTTTCTGCCGCGAATTAAGCTTTCCGTTCTCTAAAGCCTTGACCGGACAGACAAGTGTTGTATCGTCCAAATTGCCCTTCCCAACCAGTATCATGACTTCAAGAGGGCGGTTTTGTGCCCCTGGATCAAGCGGAACTGATCGAAACCGCAATCATGTCTCTGAACGGCAATCACTACACGGGTTTGGTTCTTGAGCTGGTTCTTTCCAAGCCCTTACTTTCTGTTTGAACGGCCCATATACAATAGCAATCAGCACTTTTAAAATCCTTTAAATGCCACAATGCCACCCTTTGAAGTCCGCGACTTGCTTCTGTCTGTGTGGCTCCAAGCCACCCTTTGGCGAACCACAGAGATCACCGTTACGCCATAGGAATTGAGCAACTAGCTGCTCAAAGAGCAGAAGAGGAACGGAAAGCCCAAGAGGAGGAAAGGAAAGCAGAGGCTGAGCACGTTTCGCAGTCCTGAGGAGTTGTGAAATAAGTTTTATGCTGGAGCCATAGATGGATTTAGCAGCATTCTGCTGGCAGAGCATGGTGCAAGCCAGGAAGAGGCGAAGGCAAAGACAAAGGACACCCGCCAAGAGAGACACAGCCTAGACGTCCGACTATACACAACGACAAACACACACGGGGGCCCGCATGCCCATACATGAGAGTACAGTCCTGTGTACACGACACGCGCAAAACGAGACTGCGTAACATGGCCGAACACAGGCCCAAGCTCGACAGCAAAAGCCGCACTTTCTCATTTTCATGGTAGCGGAGCCCTGGCCGTAAGAGCCGGGGCTCCCTACCCACATAGCACCACGAGCGCCACGATTCCACGGAGGGCACGGTCGACGTCCCCATCGATTACCTCCCTGTGGTTGTTGGATTTGGTGATTTTGGCAGGCCTAGCAGGTGGCCTGGGAAGCACAGCCCAACAGGAGATCCACTACTACCAGGGCGGATCCATTGTCTTAAAAGCAGGCTCCGGCAGATCCACACTCTGTGCGTCCAGACCGAGACCTACGCTGGACGGATCAGGTGGACAAGAAGCGAGAAAGCCCTGAGGGTGAGTTTGGCAGTGAAGTGGAAGCAGGACGAGAACGAAGTGAAGGAGGTGATCGTGGTGGTGCCTAGCAAGTGGCGCTTCATCCAGAAGATCGAGTACCTGAAGGAGAGTGCAGAAGAAGAGGACCTGGAAGTGCTAGTGAGCAACTGGCGGTTCTGGGAGATCATCACCCATAGTGGGTTGGAGTTTGGAGTGAAAAGAGAAGAAGGGGAAGCAGGTGTTGTGACCAAGACCTACTACCCGAAGGTGGGCCCTCTGGCTATAATGGCTGATGAGAGCTTGAGATTGGTGGCAGCTGCGCTGGAAAGGCTGACGTCGAACCAGGCCGCGCAGGGTTGGAGCAGGCATTTGAAGGCTCCTGACCTGTTCAAGCCCGAGAACAGGGACGCAGAGCTGAAGACTCTGGGAGATTGGAAGTTCTCCTTTGTGAACTACATCAAGGGTGTAGACCCTTCTATGGCTCAGAACATGGACATGGTGGAGAAGAATGTGAACGACACCTACGACATGGAGAACATGACGGACGAGAACAAGGGCAAGTCTGTGAGGTTGTATAGCCTTTTGACCTCATACTTGCGTTTGAGGCCACTAAAGCTGATCCGGCACATCACGAATGAGAATGGATTTGCAGCAGCAAGTACTCCTGAAAGAAACGCAGCCGGCTACCAGGGCCAGATCTTTAGCCTTGTTGAGCCAGCTCTCGAGGATCCAGTTTGAGGAGAAGAAGACTGTGTCCGAGCAATTGCCTCAGTTTGAGGCTCTGGTGCAGGAGTATGAACGCATCTCTGGGCAGAACTACTCAGATGATGCAAAGGTTGCAGCGGTGCTCCTTGCTTGCCCGATGACCATCAGGCAGCATCTGCACCTGTGGTTGACGGACGCGACAACCTATGAGCAGCTGAAGGATCGCATCTTGCAGCTGGAAGCAGTAACTACCAGGTGGGATGCATCGAACAATTTGATGTTGCCTACGAGAGCCTCAGTTGATGATGCCACCCCAATGGAGGTTGACTACCTTGGCAAAGCCTATGACAAGGGCAAGAAAGGTGGAAAGAAAGGAAAAGACAAGGGCAAGGCTAAAGGGAAAGACAAAGGCAAGCCAAAAGAAGGAAAAGGCCTTTGGAAGAGCAGCGACAAAGGACGCTCTATGTGGGAGAAAGGTCCAGGGAAGAAAGGAAAGAACCCAAGTCCAAAAGGAGGAAAGTCTGGCGCATGCCATGTGTGCGGCAAGATGGGGCATTTTGCCAAAGACTGCTGGAAACGTGTGAAAATATGGAAGAGCAGGCCGCAAATCCTGGCGGATCTAGTTCATCTTCAACTGGGCAAACTGGAAGTGCTTCATCGACGCAGTATGCCTCTGTGAAGATGGTGAGACTTGAACCCACACCTGAAGATGCGAAGATGCAACCCCTAAAACTAGATGGATCTTGTGTAGAATGTCCAACTCCAAGAGACTGAAAACTTTGGTACACTTCTCGACTTGAAATCCCGACGCGCTTCTTTTCCGGTGCTCCCACGACTCTTCGAGTTACGCGGCTTGAGCCAAGATTCGGTCAATCTTGGCGTGTTCGCTCACATGGATAAAGGTGTTCTTGACTGAAGTCAAGAGTGGCCAAAAACATGAACACTATCGTTCAAGTGGGCCTTTCAGATCTTCGTGCTGGCTCACAACGAACTTCAAGAAGTGACTTTTCAGACCCCCTCACAGCACGACGATCACTAGCTGGAACTCACCAGCATGCGCTTCAGCCACTGTAAACAATTGCCCTTTCAAAGCCTTGCCAGAGACTTTTGCAGCTTGGTCTGCTAAGCCTTCGATGGCTGCCATGCGGACATAGAGAAGTGGAATAGGATCATTAACACGCTCGCTCGGGTTCACGAGCACTTGTTGATGCACTACGCATTAAAGCTGATTCCAAATTAAACACTGCATTCAAGCTGATTCCAAATTAGATGCTGCACTCAAGCTGATTCCAAATTAGACGCTGCACTCAAGCCGATTCCAAATTAGACGCTGCACTCTCATTCACTGAATTGTAGCCTCCTCTGCTTTGTAGCTTTCAAGCTCCAACCGAGAAAAGGCTGCCGAAAGTCGCTGATAACTCGAAAACTGAGCAAAAATTCAAAGACTATTTAGGTTTTTTTGGCTTTTCTTTTGCAAAAGGTTGTCTCACAAAAAAATCTCTTGGTGTGCGAAAAATCCCTTAGGGCTTCCTGGAAAATCTCAAAAGAAGTCAAGGATGCTCTGAAGCACTGCACGGCTCATGTTCGTCGGATACAAACCCTCACTGTGAAGGTTTCGAGAACTCAAAGGAACATGATCACGCTGGCACTTGCATCGAAAACACTGGATCGGATGGGATGACTGCACACGATATGTATGCTTTGCATTATTCTGCTTTGCGGACATGAAATGACATCGGTCAATGAAAACCTTGTATGGACACAACTCTGTGATGAGTGTTTCCACGTTCTCACTCTTCCAAAACCGACAAACCCGCGACAACTCAACACATGCGACATCACACTTTGCAAGGATTCCACGTCCCTGCTCCAGGAGAGCTACAAACTCAGCCCAGTACCGCGCGAACCTTGGAACGATGTCTTCCTGCTTCAAAAACTGACATGGAGATCCCCCTGTGCAAGGTGGACTGAACCACCCAATGATGAGCAAGCTAGGTATTTCATTTCGAATCCGCTCTAGAAGACCAAGAAGTTCAAAAGCAATTTCTTCCAATGGATTCCTCTTTGTGGACTGGAAAACGAAGATTCTCATGCCCTTGATTGTTTTTTCATGGACAGGTTTGAAACCCTCTTGCGCACACAAATCCAAAACTAGGACATGGAAATCCCCTTCAACAAGCCGCTCGAATACCGAACACACTTCAAGACACATGTCCCCTGGTGAACTCTGTTCTGGCTGGGAATGAACAGTGTGAACAAAGGTCGGCTCTTGGCGAACAATCGGTCGAACGGACAAAACCTTGTTTCCGACTCCTTTCATTTCCCACTGCCATGTCTCTGGGAGAGTGGCCTCAGTGAACCCCATCATTTCCCGAAACTTCTCAGTCTTTACCTGGTCCAAAATCTTCGTCAAAAGATCTGCAACCATTTCATGCGTTGAAACCCAACTAGGATCAATCACTCCTGCTTGAAAAAGCTTCTGCAAAAATGCCACTGCTATGTTCATATGACGAACCTTTCGGGTCAGGCCGTCACCATTTACTACTGCCAAAGCGGACGACGAATCGGTTCCGAGGCTAAACAGAAGAACTCGTGGCAGTTCCTCAATGTTGCTTTGCAAAAACTCTTCACATGTGATGTTCGAAGGGATGAGGTCACCTACCAAAAACTGAAGCAACCGGGTGATCCCAAGTGTATCTTGGGATGCCTGAGCAAGGGAAATGCGCTCTGCTTCACATGAGGAAAGGGAGGACGACTGCTGCTGCCTCGACACTGCCTTAAGCAGGTTTCCTTTCCAAAAAACCACATAACCTGACACACTTCGGTGTCCCCAAGAGGCATCTGCAAACACACGGTTTCCACTCATACTTTTGCCAAAAATGTAAACAACCTTTCACGAATCTCAAGACTTTCTTGAGAGCTTTCTCGTGGCACTGCTGTGGGTGAGCTTGTCCCTGCGCCAACAATGCCGAAAAACGGAGGAGGCCACACCGTGTTTGACAATACCATGCCAAACGTCCAAGCTCTGATCGAAAAATGCTCGCCTTTTCATCATCCAACGCTGGTGAATCTTTCTGACTTTCCAAATCAATGTTCGGCGGAGTCGCTGTCGGTTTGAGATCTTTGACCAATTCGTGCAAATAACTCACCGGAATGCGAACGAAAAGAGAACAACTCGTATCAAAGCGCTCAATCTCTCGTCCCAAAAACATCAACCGCCCTGGTTGATTGGCTGAAATGTGACCGGTGATCTTTACCTTCTCAACTCTGGTTCGCAACATGGACTGCACAAATTCTGCTGCTTTTGGATGTGAACTGACAATGAGGAAGTCATCCACGTAGCAGGCCATCACTAAATCACAGCTGTTTTCACCATCTGTCCAAGTGCCTTTGAACACGCAGGTCTCTGTGGGTAGATGTTATACTCCTTCCCAACACTGCGGACCAAGCCAATCCAGGCACGGGCTCCGATGCGAAGTCCGTTCAAAGCTCTATTCAGCTTCGCAAAGATTGGTTGGTGTCCCGTCGCAGACCAGGACAGATCACCTGGGAGGCGGATGACATACGTTTGTCCCTCAGGGATGGGTGAATGCAAAAAGGCTGTCGAAACATCTATGGTGGAGATGTTCATGCCTGGTTGGGATCCTAGAGAGATAATGGCGCGAATGCTTCCAGCCGATGGTGTTCCACTGGACAGACCCAAGTGGGCTGCTGAACCCCATGCAACCTCCTGCACGACCATTCTCATGCGAACACCCTCAACTAGTCTGGATGAAACATTTTCCGATGATTGAATCATCTTGGGATTCACTACCCAGCGTGTGTTGATGA